CTCACATGCCCCCAAAAAATTGCCTTGCCCCTCTCGTCACTTAATTCGAGGCCTGGGGTAGACGCCGGCTATCCTTTTAAGTTGTAGGTAGTTGTAGGCCTACCGACGCCGGAGCGTCCAACCGCTGCCATTTTTATTGCTGCTGATCCGCACATAAGCTTATATTATAATTAACGCTGTGGCTATATGCCCGGCAGCCGGGCACGGTCTTCGATTTCCTAAATGCCCGGCAGTTCCTAACCCTAACCCTAACCCTAACTCTGACCCTAATCCTGACCCTAATTCTAACCCTAACCCTAATCCTGACCCTAACCCTTGTTTACTTGAGATAACGCTAAAAATTAAAAACTGCCGGGCATTTAGGAAATCGAAGACCGTGCCCGGCAGCCGTCAGATATATGCCGGCTGCCGGGCATATAGCCACTCTGTATAATTAAGTTATGTTATGTTCTCGTACTTGTCGGTGTTTACTACACTGGATATAATGACAAAGTATCAATCAAGTAAATTAAGCGTTATGCACGTTACACGTATACTGATCCAAAATGCATACTTTACCTCAGCAACGACGGGCGTCTTTTCCGTAGATTCAGGCTGGTTAATCTCGTCAGCTGTTGGATCGTCTACGGGGCTATCCGCCATGTTGAAACAAATCATCGACGAGCGATCGAAGCGCCATGCAGAGGACAAATCGCGGGATTCGGTTCAAATAGAAACCGCGTATATTTGTTGTATCGTGGTAGATTGTTTGTTTAGATAAAATGTGATCGTTACTTTACTCATACGTATAACTTCATATTTTTATTCAAGGTACGCAGTACTATTAGTTGGTATTATTGGTGTTAACTGAGCTACACGGTTGTAGAGCTGTTCACGGTTGTAGAGCTACACGGTTGTAGTTGACGACGACTGCTCTCCATCCTTGAACCGACTCTGCGAGTTGACCCCGTGGGATAGTACTTAGTAAGTTAGTAGGCTAGGTCTACGGTAACTAGTCTACGGTAACTAGTCTACGGTAACAGAGTGTCAGAGTACAGTAGATTTGTGATGTACGTTCTGATTTGATCCCCTTACAGTATATATATAATTTATAATATACTAATTAAACTAGACTCAAGAGTCAAGTTACTTTAATTGTCTTCTCTTTGTACATCACCTGGCTTGATCTTTTTTAAAACCTGATCCTTACTTTGTTGTACTGGTAGCACAAAGCCAAAACCATAGCAATTAACATGATTCTGCTACTGTACTAGTATAGTAGTACTATTTATTATTTAATACTATTAGTACAGGCCCGTAGCCAGCTTTCTATTGGGGGGGGTTCGTTTTTCAATGTTGGCAATTTGCTCGGAGGGGCGTGTACAGGATTTGTACCAGGGGGGGTCTAACCGTAACCCAAAAGTGCGAGCACGCGAAGGGGGGGTCTGGGGGGCACTCCCCCCGAATTTTTTTAAAATTAGACCCCCTCAGATGCGTTTTCTGCGCGAGCAAGGGGCGGTCCGGACTCCCTGGACCCCCCCTGTACACGC